GTTTAGGATTTAGCAAACAGGGTTTAGGGTTTAGGAAAAAGGGTTTGGGCATGAGGGTTTAGGATTATGCATTCGCACTTAGGGTCAGTTAGGGTTTAGGATTAGCTGTGGAATGAAAGTAGGTGTCAAGGATTTGGAGGTCGGCAGGAATTGGGGTGTTGGAAACTACGGTTGCTGATATAAATCCTGCATTACCCATAAGAAGGACTATACCATAATGCCCATAGTTCAGGGTCCTTAAGGTACTGCAGGGTTTTTATCATCAACAGTAGGTTTGTATGCTGAGTTTGTGCAGGGGCCTGGTCAAAATGCCTTTGGTTCAGCCCCTCATGCTTGCATGCGCACATAGCACCCGTACAGAGCTTTGTCTTGGCTAATATAGGGGCCCAAAAATTGCCAACACCATTTTGCGATTCCCGTTTATGACAATAGATTATGTTATAATATACCCCAATTATGTTATGATATATCCCAAAACCCTACTCTAGTTATTAAGGCCCCCCCAGGCTACCCTAAGCCCTGAACCCTCAACCGTCACTGGTGGATCTCCACACCTCGTAGCCTCTATACGCCAAGATGTGGAAATCAGAACCTTAAGGACGAAATGAACCCTAGAAGGGTTAAGGGTTCATATAGCATATAGGGATTCCTAGTATAAGGGTAAAGGGCCCCTACTTTTGAGGGTCATTTCGTCCTTAAGGAAATCGCCAGGCCTTGCGTTGTCTTCTTGCAGCTCGCCAAGCCTTGGCATAGCACTCATTAAGGTGTGGTATAGGCGTGCAGGTTTCCGATTTTGAGTTCTTGCGGCTGTCTGCTGCAGGAACTAGAGCCCATGAAAGGAAACCTCATCCCGACAACCCTAAACCCCAAAACCCTAAAATCCTAAACCCAAAACCCTATTCTATTTATCAAAGGCCTCTATACATTAGAAAGCCAAAAGTTGGAAACCCAATAGCCTCAGTCCTTAAGATTCGTGCATAGGGAATTCCAGCACTGTTTGGCCTCAATCTTGTTTCCATGTTTTCGGGGGTTACTATAGCAAGTTTGGAGGAGGCTGCTTGCCGCCGTTTCACCGAACCCCCTGCTTTGGTCTTTATGGGTCGGCAGTTTGGGGTTAACTAGGATTAACTGTAAAGTGTACTAGAAGGGTTCCTTGAAAAATGGAGCTACAAGGGACTTTATAGTGGTTTAGGGTTTCAGTTCAGGGTTTAGGGGTTATTAGGGTTCAGGGTTTAGGGTTCAGGGATGTTCCGAGTTCAGGCTTAAGGTAAGGTTTCGTGTTCAGGGTTTAGGGTTGAGGGTTTGGGGTTTAGGGTCTAGGGTTACCGGGTTTGGGGTCAGAGTCACTGCTGCAGTTAGGCTCTTGACGTTGCCGGAGAGCGGAGCTCTTGTTTTTCAGTTTTTCTCAGCGGGACGGGAGGGGGGAATCGGAGTTGTAACAGCAATGCTTTATTACAGTACAGCATAAACGACGTCATGGTTTATTGCAGTTCTTCACAGCTACTACCCATAGTAGCAACCATGACAAACAGATAGGACGATCATGCGAAATTGGAACCAAATCCCGGCGCAAAAAATGATTCCCTAAATAATCCTGAACCCTAAATCCTAAACCAGAGGAGAAAGAGGCTACTGCACTTAAAAAAAAACTAAACCATTTTATGGAGGACCGACCACTCTTGCAGCCAAGGTATGGGCACTGTGAGGTTGGCTGGGAGTGCCTCTACTGCCATCATGCAGAGCATCGCAACGTGCTTCGCCCGACCAAGCGTCTCCGGCTGAAGTTGCGCGGATTGACCGTTCCGAGCGACCCGGCCATTTATTTAGAGCAGCATTTTTCAGCCTTTATCATAAGGCCCACGTGCTGTATCCCGAGCTTGTGCTTGAAGAGTTGCGCGGATAGTTGTATCTCAGTATTGCCCGGATGTAGATGGAGTAGTCAGGGGAAGGAGGTTGTACCTGGGCTTTGAAATAAGAATAGCTTTCCTTTGTGATTTTTGCTTTCCTGATGCAGGGGCTGGGTTTTTCCAGAAGTATTGAAATTTTAGACTGCCTGTCGGCTGAGCTGAGCTCTTTCCCTCCTCTTTCTGCCTCGATCATGACTGGCTCTGCTGTCCCTTGACTGCTGGGGGGATGTTTGTGGCGGTGAGAACTCAAGGCCCGTGTAGCAGACGAGCTTATGATCATGATGATGATGATGATGATGATGGTGATGTTTGGCTCAAGTCAAGGACTGAGTTTCACGACACAGAAGATTCAATCGGATCTTGCATACAATGGTGTCTGAGCGCACTTACGAACCATTTTCTCTCATCCATTCACACTGATGCTGTAATCGTGATTGTGTGCATGCCCGCATCGTCAAGTTTTGGATCATGTCACGCTAAGTGGAGTTCTTGTGAAGGGGTTTAGTTCAAGTTACTATATCAAAGAAACCATATCATATTCAGTTTATAGATCCCTTTTATGGTAAGGTAACTTAAATCCCTCAACAAGATCCCAGCAAGGCAAGTTGCTCCTCTTGCGCAACTGCTTGGAGATCAAATCTGCCAAGATGCCACGCTGGCTTCCTTCTATTCAAGCACTACAAGCCATCATCGAAGACGCGCGGCCTTGTCATTTTGCCGGGTCTGTCTCTCTTTGCAGATCTTGCGGCTGATATCTCTGGGCGTTGGTTGAGGTCTTCCAGGGATGCCTCGACCATTGAATTAGGATGAAGATTATCATAGATCCCTTACAGAGCCCTTTAAGGATCCCTTTAAAGGAACCCTCTTCTAATTATCAAGGCCCCTATATTAGGATGAAGACTCTCAGGCATAGGCCGACAGAGATGATTGGAGTGTCTGGACCTCAAACTCAAACCATCAAGCCCGAAACTCACAAATCAACCCTAAGCCCTGAACCCCAAACCCTAGGCCCTAAACCCCAAACCCTAAACACCAAACCCTAAACCCCTAAAATCAAGGATGCCTGGGCCACTGCAGATCAGCAGTCAGCCATCGATGTGCGCTTCATGCAGGCCCTGATGCAGGGTTTCGATCTCGAGTTTCAGGTCTTGTAGAGTTAATATAGAAGCCTTAATAGTTACCCATACTAGTTTTCGGGGATCTTCTTGTTATAACTATACCATAATATACCCCAAAACCCTATTCTAATTACCATAATATACCCCAACACCCTGTTCTAGTTGTTAAGGCCCCTACATCAGGGCTTTGTTCGATGTGGGGCTCTGTTTTCTGGTTGATAGGGTTTATCGGGCTTCCGGGGCTCCTAGGTTTTTTCAGGGGGTTGGGCTTGGTTCAGGGGTTTCGGGCTTAGGGTTTAGGGGTTTAGGATTTAGGGTTTTGGGGTTTAGGGTGATTTGATGATGATAATCGTGATTACTGGTACCACCATTATTGCCACTATAACTGTCGCTGTTACTTGTTAGTGTCGTTGCTGTTGTTGTTGTTGTTGTTGCTGCTGCTGCTGCTGCTGGTGTTGGTGTTGGT